TTTTCGACCGTAGGCCTAATTCTTAGTAGTAACGGTTGGTCCATTTTCGTTATATACCAAACTTGTTCATTTCCTCGGTAAATTACATTTCTTCACAATGATACTGTTCCATAACTTCTGGCCTCACAATAATCTCAAATTAATTTAAGAAATAAATCAAATATCGTAGTTTGCTTTAGGTGCAATTAAATAAATCGTCATGACCATGGGTACGGTTCCCGTGGCATAGTCATGATACGTAATCCCCAATTCGAGTGTGTGTTTCACGTGCTCGACCCTAACTTCAAATAATAATAAAATTAATATAATGTAAATAACGGGTGTGTTTCACGTGGCACAATTCACAATGTGTACAAAAATAATAAGTGCGCGACATCGCGACTTATTTAAATAAATTCGATATATCCTAAAAGTAATTAAAATTAATTAAAAGCGGTTGGAAAGTTTAAAAATGCACAATAGATTTTAAATGCGTAACAAATCAGATAATTAGGCCAATTATCAATAGTTGACCGACCATGCTAAAACCACGGAATCCGAGAGTGCCTCACACCTTCTCCTAGGCTAACATAATTCCTTACCCGGTCTTCTAGTTTTCGCAGACTTTAAACAGAGTTAAATTTCCTCGATTTGGGATTTCAACTAAACCGGTGACTTGTAAAACCATGAATTATTCCAAGTGACGACTCAGAATAACTAAATAATCCCATTTCAAATTATGTCACTTTAATTGAAAAAGCTCCCTATTCCCTCGGGAAAAAGGAGGTGTGACATCACTCATACTTGTTTTCTTCTGAAACTGCCATGTGTGTATACCTGTAACGGTACAGAATTGAGTTAGATGCCACGAGAAAATACTTTTTAGTATTATATCTTTCCTTCTTTACATAGTCAATCATCAAGGGACCATGTCCTTAGTTGAGCCTGATCAACCCCAACTCTAGACGATCTGTTTCAAAGTGCTCTCTGCTCAGTTCTTTGGTGAAGTTATCTACTACCTGATCCTCCGTTTTGCAAACCTCATACAAATAAGTTCTTTTCAACATTGTCCCTCAAAAAGTGATATCGCACATCAATGTGCTTTGTCCCCTTGTGATGTACCGGGTTCTTTGCCATGTTTAGAGCACTCGTGTTATCACACAACAATGGCACACAACCTTTAAACTCACCCAAATCTTCTAGTTATTTCTTGATCTATAGTAGTTGAGCACAACAAAAGGCAACATTCACATATTCAACTTCAATAGTAGAAAGAGCCACATAGTTTTGTTTCTTTGTACCCTAAGAGATCAACCATGACCCCAGAAAATGTGACATTCTCGATGTTCTCTTTCGATTCACCAGATATCCAACATGATCACCATCAGTATATCCAACAGAGTCAAAATATTTCCTGAATGATAGAAGAGGACCAGGTCCTCCTACGTTCCCTTAGGATACCTCAAACTTCTTTTGGCGGCCTTCAAGTGAGACTTTTTGGGCTTGATTGGAACCTAGAGCACAACCCAACACTAAAAACAATATTAGGTTTGCTAACAGTCAAGTATAGAAGATATCCAAGGATACCCCTATACATAGTTTCATTGAAAGGAGAACCAAGTTCATCCATGTCTGAACGAGTAGTAGTGGCAATAGGTGTATCAATGGTCTTAGCATTCTCCATCTCAAATCTTTTCAGCAGCTCATAGAAGTACTTAAACTTCAGAATTTGAAGGACCAGATTCCTCCATATTTGAAACATTATTGACATAAATAAAATTATGACTTTCACTTCTTTGTTCTGTATCAGGAGTACCTGATGTAACATAAGAAACCCTATGTTTAGCTTCAGTCGAGGTTATAGAGGGACTAGGTTACTCTATGCCTTTTAGAGATCCGTTGCATCTTCTTCATCACTCTGCTTGACTTGACACATCAAATCACTTTCAATTTGCAATATCTATAGCTTCACTATGAGCATTTGTAAATTCTCCATCTTCATCTTCTTTGTTATGTAACTCTTTGTCACCATTGTTAAGAACAAAGCATTTTGCATCCAAAGGCTCTCAGGTAAGTTAGCTTGGGTTTTCTCCCATTGATCAGTTCATAGAGAGATTTCTCGAGAAGGGACCTGATCATGCACTTGTTAATCAAGTAGCAAGCAGAGTTGACTGCTTCAGCCTACGAACCAGGTCCTCCATAACTAACTTGTTCAGCAAATAAAAATTCACATGCCCAGTTGTCTGCGCCATAACTCAAAATCATCATCAATGACACTTAGGCATATTAGATCACCATCATTCAATAAATCAAGGTCTGCAACATAGATGTTCTTGAACATTTTGGCTATCAACACCACTGCACCAGTTTTGAGATTGGCGACAGTGCAAGATTTGGACAAGAACTTTACTTCATTTTCCCTTATCACAGATTTGAGACACACTTAACAAGCTATAGTTCAAGTCATTCACATGGTACACATTTTCAATTGTATGGGAGAGTCTTTTGCCAATTTTGCCAATACCAAGAATATAGCCCTTCTTGTCATTTTCAAAGAACATACTTCCACCTTGAAAGGCCTGGAGTGAGAGAAAATAATCCATTTTTCTAGTCATATGCTTAGAGCAGCCGCCATCCATGTACTATTTTTTGACTGCTAAAAGGAAAAAAAAATGAAAAGGTCTTAGGTTGTGATATGCTCCAACTCCTATCTGAATATATCTCAAGTATTACAATATCATAACTGCGAAGCTGAATTCATTATATTAGGTTTTACTATTCAAAGGTAATATATGCTTAGAGCAGCCGCTATCCATGTACCCTTGTTGTGATATGCTCCAGCACATTGGTGTTACTAGGGTTATGGAAGGCAATTGATGAGGATTTTCCTGAAGAGATGAAAGAGACAGAGAGTAGTGTAGGATTAAAAATGAAGAACAAAATCATAAAGACTCAAAAAAACTAAGGACTTAAGATATCTTCAATCTTTGGATCTGGTCCTTGAGGTTGCAGCAGCTTTATTCTTGAGAGAGATGGTGGCTAGCACTAGAGAGAATATGATTTTTGGATTTGCAAGTGTTAAAGAAAATGAAATCTCTTGCCTCATGTTGATAATATGTGTGTGTGTGATGTCATCAAAGATGATGCAATAAAGTGTCCATTCTTAGCAAGCTACAACTGTGCTGCTTTACTGCTGCCAGACGGTACAGTGCAACAGCCTACCAGATGATACAGTGCAACAACTTTTTACATTTGATTTGTAGAGTTGACTGCACGACAACCAGGGGAACTGTTCCCTATATGTTCCCTCTATTGTTCCCTTATCTGATTTCATTGAGAATTGAACCAGACATCTGACTAGTTATTCTGAACGCAAGAAAACTAATTGTATCAGGTTCCTTATCTGGTTCTCTCATGAAGTTTGTCAAATTATCAAAACAAAAGACGCATAACTTGTCAAAATTACACCTAAAATTCTTATTATTTTCGTTGTCAAATCAATTAATTTCAAATTTCTGCATATGCAATTTTTATAATACAATCTGTAATTGTAATTTCATATCAAATCGCAATTTGTTTTCATAGTTGGATTTGTTATAATGAGGTTATAGAAGAAGTGTGAAAATAAAAAATTTAANATATATATCATAAAGTAACTTGTAATTACTTTGTGATTGTAAAGACTATTTTCCTTCCATTTTATCGATAATATCACTTGAATATTTAATTACCTTTTATGCCATCTGAGAATATCTAAGAACCTAACTCTTAAAATGTTGCATATATTACAAAAAATGTAAGAATATCTTTTGCGCTTCTCTTACCTTTATTAACTCAAAGGATTATTTTGAAACTTTTGGAGAAAGTTTGTCCAAAAGGAAAAAAATATTTGCACCTTTCTTTGTTTGTTTTAAAGCAATAACTGTAAACGGAGTACGTTAATTAGTTAATGAGTAACGTATCACTAATTGGAGTATCCTCCTTCTAATGTTACCATTAGCTTAGAGTATCTTAAATGTACGATAGCTTTATATATATAGGATAATAACTTGTAATTATGTTTCTTTATTCCCCTTTAAATGGTAACATATATAATACGAAATAGCGAACTCACAGAAATATGTATGGAGGTGAAGGTAGAATTTTCACCAAAGAGATTTAAAGAATAAAAAAAATGAACACACGTAAAAACTAAAGGAGTTCAACAACTAATTAATACATATACATAAAAATAATTAACCCTATATAGACTATATAAATTTTCAGCTAGAAGCGCCTCACACCCGAAGGAAATGTATTAAAGTCTTTTGTTTATCTCTTCATAATTTGAAAAATTAATTCATGATTTAAAGAACTGGATATTTCGATTCGCATAGTAGTATTTTCGAAAGTGAATATGTATAAGATTAGAGGAATTATCTAATATTGGTAATCAATTTAAGTTTTTTATTCCTTATTAGCGTTACGAATATGATTCCCCCACTTTATTGTACTAAATCTGTTCGTACCGAATTTCCATTAAGTTATCACGAGACTTTCCATTCTATGACTCTTTTTTTGCCTTGAAAGACCAAGTCATGCATTAATTAAATGAATAACAGATGAAGACTTTGTTGATGAATACTATATCCTCATTCCTTGTTTACTTTTTTTAGTCGATAAACATAAATTATACATAACTATACATATATTATATATCTGTCGATTATTTTTAATTTAAGAGATTAGACGAGCGACTATTTGAACTAGTTCTTCATCTTATTTTAGGATCTTAGGATGCACAAGATAACAAGATTAAAGGTATCTTAAAACTTGGAAAATATATATATTAGATTTTCGTTCAAGACCTACTTTCCATTTATAATCATTTTCCATTTATATGAAACTTTAACATAATTATAACAATGAATTCCATTATAAATTGTAAGTCTCTATTCATAACAACATCACCCTTCTCAACGACATTAGCCTAAAAAAATAGAGAATCAAAGAGTGAAAAAATAGTTTTCCAGTATAATTTCATGGATGCTTCAATGGAGATCATCAACCAAAAACCAGTTCGTATTTTGATGTTTCCATGGTTAGGACATGGACACATTTCTCCATTTCTTGAGTTAGCCAAAAAGCTCATAACAAGAAACTTCACCATTTTCTTATGCTCAACTCCTGCAAATTTCATTTCAATCAAACAAAAGCTTATTAACGAAAACTTAACCGAGAAAATTCATGTCGTTGAACTTCGACTTCCATCTTTTCCTGATCTTCCTCCTCATTACCACACAACCAATGGCCTCCCACCCCATCTCATGTCCACACTCAAGAAGGCATTCGCGAAGTCTCGTCCAATTTTCAGCCAAATTCTCAATACTGTTGAACCGGATTTACTTCTTTATGATTTACTTCAGCCATGGGCACCAAAGCTAGCATTGGAAAAAAATATTCCAGCTGTTGTATTTGTCACAAGTAGTGCAACCATGTTTTCGTACATGTTTCATACTTTCAGGTACCCTAATATGGAATTTCCCTTCTCGTCCTCTATTTATTATCGTGATTATGAGTTGACACGTATGCTGAAAAATCAAGATTTGGAGCCTATTGAGCAACAACAAAGAGATAAAACTAGTGTTAAGTTGTGTTTTAAGAGATCTTTTGACATTGTTTTGATCAAGGGTTTTAAGGAAATTGATGGTAAATATTGTGATTATATATCTAGTTTAACTAAGAAGAAAATCATCCCCGTTGGTCCACTCGTTCAAGAACCAACAAGTGAAGATGGAAACTCGCAAATTTTAACATGGTTGAATCAGAAAGAAAAAGGTTCAACTGTTTTTGTTTCTTTTGGAAGTGAATATTTCCTATCTCAAGAGGATAGGGAAGAGATTGCTCATGGGCTAGAGCAAAGTAGGGTTAATTTTATATGGGTTTTGAGGTTTCCAAAAGGGGAAAAACTCAAACTTGAACAAGCATTACCACAAGGGTTTTTCAAGAAAGTAGGGGAAAGGGGAATGGTAGTTGAAGATTGGGCACCACAAGCAAAAATATTAGGAAACCCTAATATCGGAGGATTTGTGAGTCATTGTGGATGGAATTCTGTTATGGAAAGTATGAAACTCGGTGTTCCAATAATTGCTATGCCCATGCATCTTGATCAACCATTGAATACTAGGCTTGTGGAAGAAGTAGGTGTTGGTTTGGAAGTTGTTAGAGACAAAGATGGTAAACTTGATAGAGAAAAAATATCTCAAGTTATCAATTTTGTTGTTTTGGACCAAAGGGGAGAATCCATTAGGGCAAAAGCAAGGAAAATGAGTGAAACAATAAGAGTCAAAGGAGATGAAGAGATTGATGAAGTTGTTCAAGAATTGTTGAAACTTTGCAAGAGATCAAATGTTGTCTAGTTTCTATAATCATGGTTTTTGATGTTTTGTGTTTCCTTTTAACTTTGTTCTTTAGGGTTTAATATCATGCTTAGTGAACTCAGCATGTATTGATGGAGTACTAATTTTACTGTACTCCTTAGGTCGTCTTTCTTTATGATATATTTATCTTAGCTAGACAAATTAACCATTAATTGTAAATGATTGATTTGAGACTAGCAAAGATGATAATGTCAATATTTGCATGAGTTAAATAAAAACTTGAAATTAGTACTTTTGATTTTGATGTTGGTGCATGCCATCATGAAACAATGGCAAACAATATAATTTATCTAAATATTGTATAAAATAAAACGACACAATACGATATAATACATTATAAAATAATACATTAACAACTCCAAACTGAGTCGTTAGTGAACTCAACATGTATTGATGTAGTACTAATTTTTTTGTACTCCTTAATTAGGCCTTTCTTTATGATATATTTAACTTAGCTAGACAAATTAACCATTAATTGTGAATGATTGATTTGAGACTAGCAAAGATGATAATGTCAATATTTGCATGAGTTAAATAAACAATTTAAATTTAGTACTTTTGATGTTGGTTCTGTTTTAGCAGAGAACAAACACTGAAGCTTATGCAATTCTTGTGTTTATGCAATTTAATTATCATTTACAATTAAGAGAGTTTTTGCTTGATCATAAGACATATACATGCACGGAAGCAGAACTTTCATCAAGGGAATTCTAAAAATAAAAAAGGTAAACATGCAAAAAAATAAAGGAATTTAATATTTAAACATGAAAATAACCTTGACTCGTTTTTTTTCCTTCCAATTCTTCCGACAATGTCACTAGTATGTCATAAGAATATTTAGTTACCATTTTTACATCCTAGAATTTTTAATTAATTACTTAAGGAAAACGTATTTGCAAAAGATTGTAGTCAAATCCTTTCCTTATTTGTTTTAAAGCAATAATAACTGTAAAATAGAATCTATAGCTTACCTTACTTAAACGCTTATAATTCATTCCCATAATACGTTTCAATTTTTGCATAGATTGTAGTTAGATCCTTTCCTCAGCTAATAATTTCCATTAATTATCCGACCTTACATTATACAGTCAAACCTCTCTATAACAAGCTTGTTTGTTCCGAAATTTTTTGACTGCTATAGTGAAGTGCTGTTATAGAGTACTTATATTATAACATAATAATGTTGTTATAGAGAGGTATGACTGTATAACTCTTTTCTTTTTTCCTTTAATTCCAACTAATGCATTGAGTGAAAGATCAAATGAAGAGTTTGTCGATAAAAATAAAACGTTAAAATATAACAAAATAAAAGGCCATGGCTACTTGGGATCTTTGTTATTTGATGGCTGTGGTAATCGTAATAAACACTGTGCCTAAGCCAAGTTTTGCACTTTGAAAAAATAGCTTTTAAAGTTGTGCTGAAAAATAATTTTAGAAGTTGAAGTTGTGTTTGAACATACAATTTATTTGAAAAAATCTTGAAGTTTTGCATGGAAGAATTTTAATTTCACCTAAAAACTGCCATAAACTAGTTTTTGGGAATTTTAAAAAAACATTCAGTTTTTTTTTTTCAAAAACTGATCATATTCATGAACAAATAGTGTTTTCAAAAAAAAGTTGAAAAAATATACCCAAAATCTATGGCCAAACGGGTGCTAATGTATTATGCTTATATAATACAAAATTTGGAATCTGGAATTACTTTTTATGAGGATTCTCGAAGTTTGACATCTTAATTATTGTCCTATGACAAAATTAAGGAAAATGAAATATTATAAAAAAGGTTTAAAAGAGACAGAAAGGACAAAAGGAAGATATTTACCAAATACGTGGTCTACCTAATATAACGCATGCACGTTTAATCTAACATGATTTTAGCATTTACCGTTACCTTCCCCCGTTCTGTACTCAAACCTTTACTATTTCAATACCAAATCTACATCATCTACTAATATAATTAAAGTAAATCTACATTAATGAATCATATATAAAATTTGATTTTGGTCAATGGATATTTCCAATTATATAAGAACTTGAACATGTCTAGGAATATGGAGAAATTACTAGTAGTATTCTCCTTTTTAATGGGTTTTAATTAGGAATCGAAATTCGAACCGATGGAATCATTGAGTACCAGATACCGAATGAATATTATGTGCGTGTTGACTACGCACTTCCTCTCCCACCTCACCAATTAAAAAAATATGCAAGATCAACATAACTAAATTAATGAGATGTATGTGATTAGTGGCGGATGCAGGATATTTGCTAAGGGAGTTCAAAAAAAAAGAAGAAAAAAGTTACAAATTTAAAAAAGATTGCAACTAGCGAGAATTGAATTAGTGACCTTACAAAGGTTTTGAGCCAACTAGGCTATGGTTTTGGATTGTGTCAAGGAGATTTAAAATATAATATATAAAGATAAAAAATTATGTACAGTATAATTTTCGAACGAAGGAGGTTCGAGTGAATCTCCTTCCGCCCCTAAATCCGCCCCTGCACGTGATAATACTGAGTCCAAGTTAAAAAGATGGAGACATTATGTGACCCATTCCTATCTCTAAGAAGGTTAAACGTGGACTCCAAGAAAGAAATGGAAATTTATCTAAGTTCACGTATTTAACTAACTAACTAGCGTTACAAAAAATCTGCGTCTTTCTATATTAGGAAATCTTCAAACATAATCACTACCTAATTGTGATTAGTAAGTATGTGTCTCCCTACTAAAACATAGAAAAACATCATTTACAAGGCACTCATGCATTAATTAGTAAATTTTAGGCCTTATCAGTAACTCATTCTAATCATAATTTTTTTTCTTGATAATGTTGCAACTAATATCATCCACAATCGTGTGTTGATGATGTCCTCTAGGGGCGTTCAAACAGGAAACCGCACCAAATCGAAAAATCAAATTAAACCGATTAAAAAACCCGACTAGGTTTGGTTTGACTTGATTTGGTATTGAGTAAAAATTCGAATCAAACCGGTATATAAATATATAAATTTTATTTATATTTTTAAGACTTTATAGTGAATTTTCTTTAGAAAATGTAAAAATATTTGGAATATTCTCATGTATTAACCTTGAAAGCGTAAATAACGATAAATTATTGTTAGATGACTAAGAAAATAACTATCACGTATTACTAAAAAAAAAAATTCATTAGAATATTTTAATAGATCATATGTTTATCAATTTTTTCCATATTTACTAAACATATATTCACTTATCAAAGCTTTATCTATAATTTTAACAAAGTAAAATTGAAATAATATTCATGTAACAAAAAAAACCCGAAAACCCGAAAAATCCGACAAAACCGAACCAATCCAAACCGATATAGTTGGTTTGATTTGGTTTTGATAAAAACCGAACCAATCCGATCCATGTACACCCCTAACGTCCTCATTATATTTTATGTCGACTAATTTTTCCTCTCAAATAACAGTAATATTTCAGCTAATAGCTAGCTTAAAAAAAGAAAATTATATAAACTATTGAATCTTTTTTAACAATCTAGAGCAAACATTTTGCTCTCATCGAATTGAATTTCACTTCTATACATTAATAGTGTAAATTACTTTTTCATTATCTAAGACACTTAAAATGCAAATACAAGTAGCTTGCATAATTCATTGAAAGGGTTTAACTTATAAACATAAAAAATGTAAAATTATTCTGTACGATTAGATCATATTTACATGTTGTAGTAGTTAACATGCTTTAATTTCAAGATTAAAAAGCCCCCTTTATTTCTTTTAAGAAGGGTTGCTTGTCAGGGGCGGAGCTAGCTCATTGCGTGCGGGTTCGGTCGAACCCAGTCACTTTGGTCCATTTCATGTATTTGTCTTTAAAAAATGCATTAAATATGTATAAATTATTAATTTAGAACCCAGTAACTTAAAAGGACTAGAACCCGAACCCAGAAGCTTCAAATCCTAGTTCCGCCTCTAAATGCTTGTAAATATCTTTTGACTAAGAGATGGACCAACCTAATATGTAAGATTAGTATTCCTCCGAACCTAGTAACTTTGGCACAAACCCTATAAATATACTAAAAAGAAATAAGTATAAATAATAAATATCGAACTCGGTTAACCAAACGACCCATGGTAGAATTTCGAAGTTGAATTCATAAAGTTTAAATTCTGGATCCGCCCCTGTTTTAGATGACCTGATCGTATTTTTTTTTTTCTTTCTAGAGTTCATGTTTATATATAGACATATAAGTGACATAGCATTCTGTATATTGTGGACGCGGTTGTATTATTCGTCAACGTGAAAACCTCCACACAAAAGTATCCCTTCTTTCTCTCGAACAAACAGAGAAAAAAAAAAAGGAAAAAGAAAAGAAGTTACTATGCTCAATGTATATATGCTTTACACGTAGAGAGATGGAGAAATAGAGAAAGTGTAGGAGACGCAAACGTGTGATAAACGTTATATAAATGTATCTATCTTTTAAGTCACCAATTTCCTTTTCAAGCTTTACTTTGCTTTTTTTCAAGAAACACAGAGAAATCATATATATATAAAGAGATAATCAGTTGCTTTCAGAGCTTGTATTCTGGAAAATAATATCATTTGTCCTTCTTTCAACAATATGCATCTAATGAGAAAATTAGTCTGGTCCAAATTGAAATCGACTCTCAGAAAGCAACGTGAGTATTTCCATATATCTTCCTCTCAATAATTTTTCTTCTTTTTTCTACTTGAAATTTACATCATATATATATCTTTGTTGTTATCTTCAATCTTTTTAGTTCTAAGAATTAGTTTCATGGATACTTCAACTCGTAAATCTTATGAATTTCATTGTTTCCAGTTCATGCGTATTTCAAATCGTAAAATTTTTATATTGTTAGTGTATAGAAGTTAAACTCGTTTGTTAAAATGTTGATTTGATTTTGTTGTATTTTTCAGGTAGAAATGGGAAAAACGGTTCAGGTAGCTTGGTGAACAAGTCAAATGTGAA